TTGCCAGCCTTTTAATTTGGGTGCTTCTTACTTGAGATGCTCTATATGATTTTTTTTCTGCTTTTTACATCTGTAAAGAGTCATGTAGCGGCTATAGGTTTGTAAAAGAAGGCCACTGCCAACAATATACAATCGCCGTGGTTTGCCTTTAATTGCCGCTTTCGAACAACGTAGCGTTCTGACACTGTTCCACTTCCTCTCCCATATGTGTTTTGAATCCTAGACCTCAGTGGAACTCTCGACTCTTAATAAGGATTCTTCTCGTCCGCTGCTCAGGCAGAATGTTTAAAGGCAATTCCCGCGACCACACTTCATAGGTAATACAGTTCAAAAATAGAATTGCCCTGTGATTGTTGACTTATTGAAGAGAAGGAACCACGAAAAAGCGCCCGCAATAAGACCCTCTTTATTTCAATTGATCATGATCACCGGACGAGCGTAAGGTGGTCAAGATCAATTGTGGATGGCAAAAGGCGGCGAGACACTGATAAGAGAGAGGCCAGAAAACGACGGGCGAGAGAGCGCAATGGCAGTCTCACAACGACACGTCGGAGGCCGGCATGGGCCTATCGGGCGCCAATGGGCCTAAAACCTGAGCGCCGCTGCGTTTTGCTTGCTGTTTTTCAACTTTTAAAAGCAGCATAGCCTCTGACGTTGCCTGCTTGACCATCGTGCACGGTTATGAGTTCTAGCCTTAGTTTATCGCGGAACGTGCCTTTAAGGATGTTCAGTCATATCTGCAGATTCCTTGATGAAACGTTTTATTTTTACGACCCTCTCCGAGCACACGAGTGGCTGATGGAGAAATCTCCTTGCGCATGGGCCGATATGTAGCCGCAAAGTTTCTACTCCTTCTGCGGTATGATAGTGTGGAGGTAAAGCTACTGTGGAGGGCCGGGGGCCCTACCCGAAATAAGTAAGTGCAGTGCCTGTCTCTTTTGCATATTCTATTCTTCTAGACCCACTCAAAAACTTAACACTAATATCGGAATACGTTGACGACAAAAATCAGCCGTTAGCAAAGCTTTCAACATTTTAATGATGTGGAAACTGTCCACGATGAAACCATTAGCGATTTTGCTGGTCCGGAATCCCATTCAAACTGCCAATGTTTCTCTTGTATGAATCATCAAAATCAAATGCACCCAGCTTTGCTTTGAAGATCGTTCTTGATTGCTTATTTGAATGGTATCTTTGCAATCGGATCATTTATACCTGGTGCATGTCTCCAAATTGAAGCACGATCCAAGCCCAGCTATTAGATAATGCGTCTTCAAATGCTGATGGCAGCGAGTTTCTTGTCTATTATATATCGCACGGGTTGGGTTGGTCACGCATTACGTGCGACCTCCGCCTGGAAGGAATGGAAGCGCGTGTTGGGAACGCAGTTTCTTGTTTCTACTTCAGAATTCGGAGGCGGAGGTGGTGTAGTGACAAGTGGCGCGCTTACCACTCGCGCGGTCCTGGGTTCGAATCCCAGGTCGACACCCGCCCAGGCCAACCAAGCCTTCTACCCTCCGGGGACGGTAAATTGGTACCAGATTCGTCTGGGAGGATAAAACACTGACTTGTACATCGGCTGGCCACCGCAAGTCATTGTATAGGCCACATCGCATTCAATAAGCCACTACGATTCTGAATGGAAGTAGAATGCGTGCCGCATCCCACAAAGGGATTGATCAACGGCGAAGACTTTATCCTTTGCCCTTTTACTTCAGAATTCGGCCGCCTTTCATCTGAACTTCCTCACATCCTCCTACTAAGCGGCAGCCTCTCATCCTTCACCTTTACGAGGTTGGAGGACTACCGTCTCGTTCCGGCCCGGCTGACTTTTTCCGTGTTCCAGTCACATCACGGCTACTCCTTGTTAACTTGGCACACTAACATCAACTAATTGGCATATTACATAATATACATATGAATATCCATTATAAAGCAATTTAGAATTATATCAATATGCACTCGGCTGCACTACTACGCGCATCGCATGGTGAACCATTACGAAGTCGATAACAGAACACCTGTGCCGATTCTTTTATCTATACCGATCACTTGCCGTCACTGCTTTCTTGGGATATCAGCAACTCTAACAATTTTACATTGTTGGTGGATAATTACCGCTGTCTGGACCTTATCACGTTTTCAAAAGCATCGACCCTTCGCTGGAAGTATGGACAGCCTAACGGTTGAAACGTTTCGACGGTAACTCCAGTGAAATGCCGACGTGATTTCTTCACACAACAGTGCTCCAGTACAGCAATGGTAAAGCAGTTCCCATTTATTCACTTGTTATTGTCTCTCATCGTTCCTCATTGATAAGCACCACAAACCGTTTACATTCTGTGGAGACTTGAAAGGTCACAGGATGTTAATGATTATTGTTATCGCTCAAAATTATTCGCTCGCTGGAACAGCTTCGCTGAATTGCGTGTCCATTTTTGCCAACGCTCGTGCTTATGAGTAATTCTGTTTTCCTTTACTACACTCTCTTTATTAAGAAGGTAAGATTTATTCACGGATGTAATCGGTTGTTGCAAAAGCTTGACATGAATCGCTTACCGTAGTCCCCAATTTGTAAGCTTTCAGGCCCACTATCCATGATACTTGATTGCGGGAAGACCGCAGGAATTGTCTTTAACACTGGTATCGGTAGTGGTTCGCGCTTTGCGCGGAAGAGTGATTCGCTCTTCCCACAGGAAGTGATTCACCTAACCCGGTATTTTCTCACCTTCCCCTACTTTCCTAGATGTTTTTGGGTACTGTGGACTATGAGAAAACAATTTCATAGTCGCTACAAGTACTCTTTATATGCAGAGATTGGTCTAGAATAGCACCAGTGTCTAATGAACAGTTAGGATTCGTTTTTCTGCCTATCGTAAATCACCCCTACCCCCTAAACGAGAAAATTTCCTGCTCGTAGTCAAACGCTCCTTGTAAGGTTGGCATGGAATATGAAACGTATCTTATCTTTAGTATCTGTTCCGGAAGCAGTGAAGCAGTGGGCACAGATGCCCTCCCTCCAAGCCAAACAGCGCCAACGTGCGCGTAGGAGCTTCAACTGTGACTTATTCTCAAGTTTCTGCAGATATTTCCGCGAGGCTGACAGCAACTTATACGGAAAGCGCGAGCCATCGTGAATTCCAAAGGATCCTTTGTACAGTTGTTTTTTGCACAAGTTTTCATACTGCTGCTACACCTTTCAAAGCAAAGAAACGGATTAGCCACTGTTGAACGAGTACAGTAGTGCAGCGAACTGCCAAACATGCGTCATTTTGATCCGATTACTTCCAGTGAAGAGCTCATGTTCACTTCTCGGTTTCGCACCCCAGTCCAGTGAGCGTACTGTTTTCCGTTTGTTTGTTCCTTCAACACTTTTCCCTCGTTACCCTCGGACGGATTCGGGTTCGGAATGGACCAAATTCCGACATTCTCTTATCTGTAGAGTTTCTGTTAATGGATGCCGAGTTCCAAGAGGGTTATGCACCAAGAATAATATATGTAGAAGTTCGAGGTTCCCAATCACTTATCACTCGACATGTTGACCACATTT